ATATTCATTTCTTTCTTTCTTTCTTTTTTTTATCCTCACCTGAAGATATGTCTCGATTGACTTTTAGAGAATGTAAAAGAGAGGGGAAGACTGAGAGAAACATCAAAGTGAGAGGAACACTTTGATTGGTTGCCTCCTGTATGAGCCCTGATCTCTGCCCTGGCCAGGGAGGAGCCTGCAACCTAGGTACATGCCCTAGATCAGAATCGATCCCAGACCCTGCTGTCGGCAGGCTGAGGCATTATCCACTGAGTCAAACCAGCTAGGGCAGGATATGACATTTCTTAGCCCTCCAGCAGCGGACCTTCATTTTTTCCTCCAGGAGTGTGGTGAAAAAACCCTAAATCACCTTTTTGGATTTTTATTACACAAGTTACTAAGAATATTACCAGTAGATATACAGGGAGCTTAGCCAATGTGCAGTCAGGAAAGGTGTTTCCTCTATAGTTCACACCAATCATGGGCTGGGCTCTGCCCTGGCCTAAAGCCTATGGCCGACCTTGGGCAGGGCACCCCCAGATCCCTGCGATCCCAGGCTCCTCTCCTGCCTCTTCATTCTGATTGCAGGTTGACCCTGCCCAGGAACCCCCTGGCTCAGTCCCTTCCCAGGCTGCTCTGGGCCCACACAGCCTTACCTCACAGTGACCTGGGTGCCAGGATGTTCCTGGGCGCCTATGTATGCAAATTAACCACCATATTTTTGGGGGGTTCATTTGCATACTCATTCTGATTGGCTAAGGGTGTAGCGAAGGTATGGTTATTTACATGTTTACATGTTTGTATATTATTAGATAAGACTAGAGTCCCGGTGCACAAAATTTGTGCACGAGGGGGTGGTGGTGGTGTGAGAAGGGGTGACCCTCAACCCAGCCTGTATCCTCTCCAATCTGGGACCCCTTGAGGCAGTTGGATATCCCTCTCACAATCTAGGACTGCTGGCTCCCAAATGCTCACCTGCCTTTCTTCCTGATTGCCCCTAACCACTCTGCTTGCCAGCTTGATCATCCCCTAACCTCTCCCATGCCAGCCTGATTGATGTCTAACTGCTCCCCTGCCAGCCTGTTTGCCCCCAACTTCCCTCCTCTGCCAGCCTGGTCATCCCAACTGCCCTCCCCTGCTTGCCTGATCGCCCCCAACTGGCCTCCCTTGCAGGCCTGGTGCCTCTCAACTGTCTTCCCCTGCTTGCCTGATTGCCCACAATTGCTCTCCCTTGCAGGCCTAGTCCCTCCCAACTGCCCTCCCCTTCTGGCCATCTTGTGTTGGCCACCTTGTGTTCACATGGGGGCAGGATTTTTGACCCATGGGGGCAGCCATCTTGTGTGTTGGAGTGATGGTCAATCTGCATATTACTCTTTTATTAGATAGGATAGAGGTCTGGTGCACAGGTGGGGGCCAGCAATGCAAACAGGGATATCAAAGGTAATGTTTGGTAAACCGTAAAAGGATTATCGGGTTAGGGGCTTGCCTTCAGCCATTCAGCCAAAAGCAGGGCAATATTATGCTGATTTTCAGCCCTTGCTGAACATCAAAGTCCATTAGCCTTCCAGTGGACTTCTTGCATAATTATGCTAACTACTGGTTGGTCTTAGCCTCTGGCAATGATGTTAACATCTTCAGCAAATTCAACATATGAAGCTTTGAAGCTTGCTGTCAATACAACAAAACAGCATACATATCAAATTGCATATATATCAACATATTTGTAACTCCATCTATTGAAAAAAACCCCACATTATTAACTGATATATCTGGTAAGTCAGTCAGAGAAAGATAAGTATCAACATGACTGCACTCATATGTGGAATCTAATGAACAAAATAAACTGATGAATGGAGTGGATCCAGAGACATGGAAGCATAGAAAAGAGTGTATAATCTCAGAGGGAAGGCAAGGGAGGGTAGGTGGGAGGTAATCAACCAAGATCCTGTATGCATACATGTATAACCCATGGACACAGATGATAGGGTGCTAAAGGCTTAGGGTGGGGGAAGAGAAGCAGAGGTGGGCTGGAGTGGGTCAATGGGAGAAAAATGGAAACATATGTAATACTTTCAACAATAAATAAAAATAATTAATTAATACAAAAGTATTCAAAACAGTGGTACTGGCATAAAAACAGACACATAGATAAACAGAAAGGAATAGAGAGCCCAGCAATAAACCCTCACTTATATGGTCAACTAATCTATGATAAAGGTAAAAATATACACTGGAGTCATAACAGTCTCTTAAACAAGTGGTGCTGGGAAAACTGGACAGATACATGCAAATAAAACCCTAAAACTGGACCACTCTTGTACAAAATATACAAAACTTCTTCAAAATGGGGTAAAGATTTAAATGTAAGGACCAAAACCATAAAAACTATAAAAAAAAAAACATAGAAAGTAAACAATTTCACATTAGTCTGAGGTAATATATTTTAGGTTATGTCCTCTCAAGCAAGGGAAACCAAAGCAAAAATAAACAAATGGAACTACATCAAATTAAAAGCTTCTGCACAGCCAAAAAAGCCTTCAATAAAACAAACAGGTAACTAACTAAATGGGAGAAGATATTTGCAAACAACATCTCTAATAAGGGGTCAATATTATATATATATATATATATATATATATATATATATATATATATATATATATATATATATTTATAAAACTCATACAATTCAATAACAAAAAAAAGTAAATAATCCAACTGAAAAATGGGCAGAGGACATGAAAAGACATTTTTCTAAAGAAGACATACAGATGACTAACAGTCATGAAAAGATGTTCAATATCAATTATTGTTGGGGATATGTAAATAAAAACAATGAATGGCTATTATGAAAAAAGTCAACAAATAACATATGTTGATGAGAATGTATAGAAAAGGGAATCCTTTTGTACTGTTGGTGGGACTGCAAACTGGTGCAGCCCTATGGAAAACAGTGTGCTGATTCCTTAAGAAAATTAAAAACAGATACACAATACAACTCAACAATTCAACTTTTGTGTATTTATCTGAAGAAATTCAAAATCCTAATTTGAAAATATTCATTCACTGCTATCTTCACTGCAGCATTATTTACAACAGCCAAGATGTAGAAACAACCTAGGTGTCCATCGATAGATGAATGGGAAAAGATGTGGCACACACATACACACACACACTGAAATATTACAGAGCAATGGTTTTATTAATATGTGGAATCTAAAAACAAAACAAATAAATAACAGACCCATGGAAACAGACCAAAGGGATGGTTATTAGAAGGGGTGGTGGTGAGATGTCTTTGCACTGAAAGAGGCCCTTGCTTAAATAAGAGAAGGGGAATATAGTCAATAATATTGTGACAAGTTTACACAGGGAAAGATGATTACTAGAACTAGTGGGGTGGTCACACTGTAAGGTGTAAAAATGTCAAATCACTATAGTGTACACCTGAAATGAACATATTGTACACCAACTATACTTAAATAAAAAAATAAATTAAAAATGATATTATTAACTCCGGGATAAACAAAAAGCTATACAAGAAAGGAAAGAAATCATATTATACTATATGACTCAGCTGTTAAACATTTACATACAGACATAATCATAAAAATGTAAACACAAACTATTTAATCAAACACTGTGATATAATACCTTTTTCTTTCTTTTTATATATAATCATCTTTAAAGATAGAGGTGAGGCAGTATGCATGGGTGGCTATATAAGAGAGCTATGTTCCAGTCTTCCAAAGTGAAAAATCAATTGATAATGTTAGTATTGTACTATTTGACTTTTACAAATTATAGACATGTATTTATTTGACATAAAGAAAAATTAAGTTTTAAAAAAAGTTAAGTAAGACTGGTAATAAAAAAAATAAAACATCTATTGGCATATTGGCAACTCAATTATTACCTCTACTCTAGGGGTATAAAGTGGCAAAAATCACATAGTAAACCTCCCCTTTTTATTTGTTCTTACTCTGAAAAATTAGGGGAAATGGTGGTAGAAATGCATTAGTGTTTCAGGGATTTCTTGATACTAGCATATAAGACTTTGGGGTTATAGCTGGATGGGAAAACAATGCACCCTTTCCACCTATCAGTCCTATTAACATCCCTTTGTGGATGGGAAACACTGGGCTACAAGGAAAATGAGGTCTGGAGCAAGGGTAATCTTGCCAATAACCTAAAAGCCAAGACTTGTCTTTAAGTAAAGATAAATTCTCTTAATTAACAAGAGCAAATTAAAACCACCACAAGGATAAACAAGTTCAGCCATTTGCCAAGTCATGTTATATCCAGTACGAATCTCTTTATAATTGACACTGAGACCATGTACCATTCTCAGAACCCCAGCATAGTTATTTGAACACAATTTCTTCAAGCAGGGACCATTTCTATTATAACACCATCAAACTACTAGAGGCCCAGTGCATGGATTCGTGCACCTGCAGGGTCCCTCGGCCTGGACTGAGCCTCTCGAAATTTGGGACCCCTCAGGGGATGTTGGAGAGCCAGTTTCAGCCCAATCCTTACAGGTCAGGCTGAGGAACCCCACTGGTGCACGAATCCATGCACTGGGCCTCTAGTATGCATATAAAATCTTTGGTTAATCTCTTCTGGTCCTCCTCCTTCTGCCCTTCCCACTGAGATTCATCAATTTATTCCATCTTTCCATGCCTGTGGTTTCCACTCCTGCATTGAGCATCTACCCCTGGTGGTCAGTGTGCGTCATAGCTACCAGACAGTTGGCTGGTGGGCCAGTCGCTTAGGCTTTTATATACATAGATTTATTAAAACCTATTGTAGAAGGTATTAGATTAAGTAAAACAAAATTATAGTTTCCCTACCCAGAATGTATTCTTTTTTTAAACCAATAGTAGTTGTCTTACACACATTATGTTGTCTTGTCATCATCAAAAACAGTTTGCCTGTTTTCTTTGCTTGCAATTCAAGAGAGATGGTAGACATTAACAAATGCTAGACATTAACAAATGCTGCGCTAGAAAAGATTTTACCTGGTACTGGAACTGAATTGGTTGTAATTGGCTGTCATCTTGAGTCATCTTCCTGGCTAGAGCCTCTTTCAGTGCAAGGGCTTTATTCAACTCAACCAGCTCCTTAGACATCTGAGCTTGACGGAGAACATGTTGAGTGGTGAATCCATCAGAAGATCTGCTTGTCTGTAGACAGGTTTCCACTTTCTGGAAAAGATCAGGATAATGATTTGTAAGAGAAATAAGTAATTGGAGTTCCTTAGATACTACTTAATCAAGTCTCACAGCCATTTCTCCATTATCAGTACCTTTGATCTTTACAACCCTGCTTTCTCATACATTCACTTTAAATATCTAAAATAAATTGAGCTAGCCTATTTCCCTGCTCTCATAAGCATTTTATTTCTTATATCCTTTAACTGACTCTCTCAGAGCAAACTAAATTTCTTATGTTTTTCTTTTTCTTTTTTAATCCTCACCCAAGGATATATTTTTAGTGTTTTTTGTTTGTTTGTTTGTTTTTTGTTTTTTAAGAGAAAGATGAAGGGAGAGAGAGAGAAAAAAACACCCACATTGATGTGAGAGAGAAACATCGATCATTTGCCTTCTGCATGTGCCCCAATTGGGGACTGAACCTGCAACCTTTGGTTCACAGCACAACACTTCAAACAACACCCGGCCATGGCTCTTGATATTTTTTTTTATTAATCAGGCCAACATTTCTCACTTTTACCTCATCCTAAGGGATTCTTAAAGGAGAGAAGGCTTTGGAAATGGCACTTTAGGAATGGTGGAAATGAAGAAGGTTTCATTTATTATCAAAAAGCTGACCTCTTGCACCTGATTTATCTCCCATCTGTCTTCTTTCAGAATATGAAAATTACCAATATGTATTGGCTTTAGGGAGAAAAAGCTGTCTCAAGTAAACAATTGTCCAGGATTTCATTTTGACTTTGCTCTATAACCTTTAGCTAACATCTAATATATTTTATCTGTTCTTGCAACTTGAATACTCAAAATGTTTTGGTTCCTTTAGATTTTAACCATCCCATACATAGAAAAGTATGCTGAGAAAAAATTCTCTTCCATTTCTTCTCTAATGCTTTTGTGACCTTGCCATGATTTCCTAATTTGTTCCCTTCCTCATTTTAACTTATTAGATAGTTGATGCAGAATACTAGCACCTAACAAGAAATCAGTTAGCCAGTCTGAAAATATAGAAAGTGACATACCTGAGAAGCCTTGGCACCTATTAGCACTTAATGTTAGAGATAGAGCCTATCTGAGTTGGGAATTTTACAAAGCTGAGATTTATATTCAAGATTTCTGGATTTCTAAGGCATTCTATGGAGGATGACAGCAATCAGGTATTCTCTTCCTCAGCTGAGTGATAAATTATAGGCAATGACACAGTTAAAGCTCCTGATTCTACACAAGGGGCCAATTACTTACAGCTTCTGGATCCATTCCAGCATCAATGGCTGCAGCCATGCAAGCAACAGTTTCATCCTGCAATGACAAATGATGTCTCATTTCAGGAAAAAATTCTGAAGTGAAGCTTACTAGTGAACTTTACACTGGTTATTTAATTTTTTTCAACTATATACAGAGACCATCTAAGATGCTAAACACTTCTGTAATCACATATACTCCACTAGCCACATGTTCCCATTTCCCACCTCTCAAGACAGTCTCTTCTTTATCTAGATCACATGTGTCAAACACAAGGCCCTCGGGCCAAATCCATCCAGCCAGGCCTTGCAATGAGGCCCGCACCGCGCTGTCATCACTGCACTCCGCTGCGTTTCCATCACAATGACAGTTTATGACTGTTCAATAAACCATTCGGCCAGCGATTTAGGCTGGATTTTAGATTTTGGCCCCTTCTCTGATTGAGTTCGACACCCCTAATCTAGATCAATGTGCAGTCTTTATAAAAAATAGGGTCATGTGGCAACTTACAGGGTGGGGCAAAAGTAGGCTTATAGTTGTGAGTTCATGAAACAAAGTTTATTCTTTTATTTTTATTTATTAACTAGTGGCCTGATACACAAAATTCGTGCACTGGGGCGGGCGGGGGGGGGGGGGGATTATCCATCAGCCCAGTCTTCACTCTCTTCAATCTGGGACCACTTGAGGGAAGAGGAAGAGAGGGGAAAAGGAGAAGAGGGGAAGGGTGGGGAGGAAGACTGATGTGAGAAACATCGACCAATTACCTTCTGTAAGCTCCCAAACTGGAGAATGAATCTGAAACCCAGGCATGTGCCCTGACTGGGAATCAAACCAGCAACCTTTCTGTGCATAGGACGAAACTCAACCAATTGAGCCAATCTGGCTGGGCATCCTTTTATGTTTTTACCACTAAATGTACTTTATAATACATAGGTGTAGCCAGTCCTCATGGACACACAATCCTAAGAAAAGACATCCAATATAATAAAGAGGGAATATGCAAATTGACTGTCACTCTGTCACAAAATGGAGGCACCAACAGCAGAGGCCAAGTTCCTATAATGAGCCTTAAGTAACAATCAGCAAGGACCTGAGGCTGTGTGCTCCCCCACCTTCTGCCCCAGTGGGGCTTGTGAGGGGACCTCAGGCCACACTCCCTACCCTGGCATCAGGCCTGGGACCTCAAGCCACGCACCCCTCCCCACCACTGAGCCAGGGGACCTGAGGCCACACCCCCACCCAGCAGGGCTTGACAGGGGACCTTAAGGTGCACACCTGCACCCCACTTCTGGGCTGGGGGACCTGAAGCTGTGCCCCCCACCTGGCGAGGCTTGACGGGAGACCTGAGGCTGTGCTCCATGCATGGTAGGGCTTGACAGCGGACCTCAGTCCATGCCCCCTGCCCGAAAAAGCTTGACGGGATCTCAAGGTGTGCCCCCTGCTCCAGCCTGGGCTGGGGGACCTCAGGCAGTGACACCCACCCTGGCGCCAGGGCAGGGGACCTGAGGCTGTGCCACTCACCTGGCAGGGCTTGACAAGGGTGGGACTGGCCAGGTCTGGATCTAGCCCAATTGGGGGGGGAGGGGAACACAACTGGGTCTGGGTCTCACGTGGGTGAGTCGGCAAGGACTTGACTCTGGGCCCCATGGTGCACCCCAGACTCTGACAGGAGGAAGATTTTCATATACATTCTACTAATTTTCTTTCATCTCTGACACTTCTATTATAGAGAAAGGGCAAATAGCAATATTAAAATATTTCCTTTAATTAATCCCCTTTTAATGTGTACAAATTTTGTGCACTGGACCACTAGTATCAAATAAAAGCAATGCAGAAGACTGATTAGAATAAATAATTATTTTTCATTTTAAATATATATTTTATTGATTTTTCACAGAGAGAAAGAGAGAGGGATAGACAGTTAAAAACATCGATGAGAGAGAAACATTGATAGCTGTCTCCTGCACAACCCCCACTGGAGATGTGCCTGCGACCAAGATACAAGCCCATGACCAGAATCGAACCCAGTGCCTTTCAGTCGATGCTCTATCCACTGAGCCAAACCGGTTTTGGCTATTTTTGATTTTTATTTTATAGTCAAGGTAACAAGAGCTTACCCTACAAGGAAATAAATGCCAGGGTAAATACCCCAGAAAAATGTGCCCATGAAGCCAAAGCCGGTTTGGCTCAGTGGTAGAGCGTCCGTTTGTAGACTGAAGGGTCCCAGGTTCGATTACGGTCAAGGGCATGTACATTGGTTGCAGGCACATCCCCGGTGGGGGATGTGCAAGAGGCAGCTGGTCGATGTTTCTCTCTCACTGACGTTTCTAGCTCTCTATCTCTCTCCCTTCCTCCTCTCTGTGAAATATCAATAAAATATTTTTTTTTAAAAAAGTGCCCATGAAGTCAAGACAAATATTAGGTCTAGTAATAATTGATGTCGTTTTCTAATACTTTTTTAAAATCGAATTTATTTAAACAATACAACAAAATTTAATCAACAATATAGTTGCCGTTGTTTTCTACTATTTGTGCCCAACGCTCAGGAAGCATTTTAATCCCTCTGTTGTAAAATTCTTGTGATTTTGATGCAAAAAAATTCGGTCAATGCATTTTTGAGGCATTCTTCATTATTAAATTTTTTTCCAAGAAGAAAGTTTTGCAAAGAACGAAACAACTGGTAATTGGAAGGGGCAATATCAGGAGAATATGCAGGTTGAGGGAGAACTTCCCATTCCAACTGGCGCAGTTTTTCAGCAGTGATTCTTGCAGTATGCGGTCGTGCGTTATCGTGTTGAAGAATTACGCCCTTCTGATTAATCAGCGCGGGTTCTTTTTCTCTTAAAGCTTGGGCTAACCTTTCCAATTGGGCACTATACACTGCACTTGTAATGGTTTGGTTAGATGGTAAAAGTTCATAATGAAGAATTCCTTTAAAATTCCACCAAACACACATCACTTTTTTCGCATGCAAGTCAGGTTTTGGCGTGGGCTGCGGAGCCTCATTTTTGTCCAACCATTGAGGCCGCCTTTTCAAATTAACATACAGCACCCATTTTTCATCTCCGGTAACAATTTGCTCTAAAAACGGCAAACGGTTTTGATGAGAGAGGAGTGAACTGCAATTGTGACTCTTTGATTGCGGTTGTTGTTGGTCAACTCATGAGGAACCCATTTTCCAAACTTTTGGACTTTGCCAAGTGCACGCAATTGATTGGAAATTGTTTTCTGTGAACAATTTAAAGTTGTCGCAAGCTCTTGTTGGGTAATTTGAGGATTTTGCACCAAAAGAGCTTGAAGAGCTTCTTGATCAAAATTGGACACACGGCCTCGACCACTCTTGTCATCTAACGAAAAATTTCCCTCGCAAAATTTCTCAAACCAACGCTGGCATTTTCTGGCGCTAACTGCATCTTGACCAAGAGCACTACAGATGTTTTTTGCAGCCTCACTTGCTTTTCTTCCTAATTGGAACTCGTAAAGCATGCAGTGCCGAATATGCTCTTCATCCGCCATCTTCTTAGCCCTAGTTTTGCAACAAAAACCAAACCAAACACAAACTTTTTCAAGCAAAACTTGTTAATTGCACTTCACACGTTCTGTAGATACCACGTGTTTGAAGGTTATGTCAATACAAGTCAACGCCAAGCAAGATTTTAAACGAATGTTTAAAAACGACATTAATTATTACTAGACCCGATAACTGTAGCCTCTGTCCCTCCTACACATCACAACTACAGTTACTCCAGGTAGTGGAAGGAAAGGGTAGGCACTTATTCCCTTCCAGAGAAGGGCCAATTCCTTTTATGGGAATTGGAACACCACCTTGAAGGGAAATCTAAAACTATTTATTAGGATTAATTTATTTATAGGTTATCACATGAGCAAGCTTAGTTCAGGATTTGGCATGGCAACATATGAATTACCACTACTGTGTAAGTGATCCTGAAAAGCCCTAGGAAGAAAGGATTATTTCTGAAAAGGAGGTCATAGGTGAAACTGCTGCTGGCTCAACAGTAAGTAAAGAATTTAGGATTAACACATGGAGTCTCATCACTAGCCCAGTGAAACATTACATAGTTGTTGAAACTTAAATCTCAGTACCTTTAAGGTCAGGAGTGAAATGGTCCTTAGTAAGTGCTATTTATAAAGCATTTCTCTTATTCTGCTCAGAAATTCTCAACTAGTGAGACTCAAAGGTAATTCAAAGGAAGCTCCAATGTTTCTACATCCTGTCTCATCATGATTTACAATACTGGCAATTCTTTAAGAGCAAGATATATTAAATCATTCTTATTAAAAACAGAACTAGCATGATTCAATATATTATAGGTTAATAGTTACCTCTTCCTCTCTCCCATATTATAAGTTTCAGTAAAAGGACTAGTTATAGGGCTAGTCTAGATTATTAGGGCATAGAACAATGGCTTTTGGAGAATTTTTCTAGTACCTTCCACAGGATCAGGAATCAAAGTAAATTTGTTACTGTTGGTTTACTTTGTGACCCAATGAAATTTTACAATGTTAAAGTTTAACCTTTGGTGACATGTTCTACATGAACATGGCAGGTTTCTGCCTTCATAATCCTTCATGTAAATACCCTATAAAATGAAGAGGTAATATGCAAACTGACCCTCACGCAGTCATGTCACAAGGTGGCCGCCCCCACGTTGTCACAAGGTGGCAATCCCCACATCATCAAAAGATGGCTGCCCCCACGTCATCATAAGATGGCCACCCCACATCGTCACAAAATGGCCACAAGATGGCTGCCCCCACATTGTCACAAGATGGCCACCCCCATGTCATGACAAGATGGCTGCCCCCATGTTATCACAAGATGGCCATCACAAGATGTCTGTTCCCACATTGTCACAAGATGTCCACCCCATGTTGCCACAAGATTGCCTCCCCCATGTTGTCACAAGATGGCTGCCCCTACATTGTCACAAGATGGCTGGCAGGGGAGAGCAGTGAGGGGCAACCAGGCCTCCAGGGAAGGGCAGTTGGAGTGACCAGGCATGCAGAGGAGAGCAGTTGGGGGGGACCAGGCCCGC